CCTGTTCTACATCCTTTATTAGAAATTTAAAACCAGTTTACTTAATAAAATTTTCTTTAATTTTAAAAAGAAAAAAATTTACTATTAGTTTTATATATAATTTGCAAATAGTATCCTCTACTCTTAATACGAAATCGCTATATTTGGTATAATAATTCGTCGGTGCTTTCTGATCTACGATAACAGTAAAAAATTGCGTGATGAATCTTATTAACCATCTATCAACAGCACTTCAGATGCAGAGCATCCTCTTTCCAAGAGACAGTGGCTTAGCGATTTTACATAGATTTGTTATAAAAAAGCCAATAACACTTTCAACAATAGTTTAACAGCGGTTATCTAGAATCTATTAACATGTATTCGGTAAACATACGTGTGCGCTATTTTAACACAACATGTAGCGGTAATTTAATTTCACGGCTGTTAGATCATTTTGGTCAAACTATTATATGACTTAACGGTCCCACGGGTCCACACGTATAATTTACAAATTCTTATCGCATAACGATAAATTCTGTATTCTCTACAGCTTCCAGAGGCCGTTGGAGTTTAATATTTTTATTTTTTATGATAATAACGATAGCAATTACTTGATATTCAGGTTTATCAGTTTGAATGAGCAATAAAATCTTGACCGGCTTTAAGAATCAATGGCCTGTATTAAATTTTATGCGGTGTCACTCTTCTGCAGAATCATTTCTCACAGTGCGATTTTTTTATTAACGAATATTATGAATGTTTAGACTCTTTTCCTTACTTTATACGATCCCGCGATAAGAATGAGACTTAAAAAGGCTATAAGGGCAATGAGTATAACGTTCTTAATCAATAGTTTTATCAAAATTCATATGTTACAGGGACTTCAAATCTTCACCATCTCCGAGATCGTCAGATCTAAACCCACTTTAAATGATCGTTGATTATAGGGGGTTAATTTCACCAGAAAAAATAACAGAATAGATTCAGTGTTTGGAAGTTATGACCGAGTGGAATTGCTTTATGGAGAAAAAAAAACTGGCGTTAGACTTGGGTAACGCAATTACTAATCGTGCATTTTCTTTCTGGCAAGTTCTCAGACCTAACGAATATGAGGTATAAAAATAAGCGGATTTGCTCACAAGGTAAGTTAGCAATAACGTTGCTCTTATATATTTTTTACTTGATTCACTTGCCTTTAATTTATTTTTAAAGTAATGTATTTACTGTTTAATACAGTCTATGAAGACGATTTTTTACTTACTATGATTTTTTGTATTTAGATACATAAAATATCTACTACAAATCCTATTAGCCTTAAGTGTCTTTTTCCGAATAGTAATCGTATTAATATTCAGATATGCAAGGAAGATAAGGTTGCAGTGCTTAAAGATGCAGTTAAGAATCTAGCTTATCAAGATTCTGATCTCTACGTTATCATTCCTAAGAATTTGACAGCTGAAATGTTTGATTATTTCAAAAATGGAACTTTTGATCTAAATCAAGTTTATATTATTGTAAAACCAAAGGAATAATATTTTTTTCTTGTATTCGCATTATGTATTTTTTATTATATAAATAAAAAAATATTTTTATTTGTGTATTGTTGCTCTGGCAACAATTTTTATTAAATAAAGAAGGGGGTTGGGACCCCATTTTTTTTTATTTTTTTTATGCAATTGTGTGAACAAGTGTTATACTGTTATTTGGATCCACTCGATGGAGTGCGAAATCATGATCAACTTCCTCATCAAAATATACATTATCGGCAGGCTTAATTTGCGTTTTACCCTCTAACTTCGCTAACCTTGCCATTTCTTCACGCATGAGCCTTTCATGAAGTTCGTGATCATACTCATCATTGGAGTCTTTTTCCTCTTCAGAACCACTAGGAACGTTTTCAGTATAAGTTAATTGACCAACTTTGGTTAGGTACTAATTCCAGAAAAATGACACTTTGAGATTGTGCCCCGTCTCACAAATAAGTTATACATAACGATAAGCCTCATATAAATTTTATATTATATGTACGTTGATAATTGTTTGTCGTTTATTCGAGAGTTTTCACATTCACATCGCTTATATATTCCATCTGCCACCTTTTTGCATGTTTTGCAATATAGGTGTGAATGATGATTGCATTCGTCACAAACCTTACACCCATGCTTCCAACCTCTAAATATATACCACTTTTCAAAGTAAATTTGTTTTTCTTTCATCATTATATATTAACAAAAAAAAAAATCTATACGTGGCTAAAATTTTTTATTATACAAACCCATAATATGTAGCACTTTGTGGTCCAGAGTGAATTCTCCACAATAGATGTGGCATGAGTTAATTGACCGACTTTAGTTAGTGTACTTATTTTAGCCAGGGTGCCCCAGTCGAAAAATGAAAAATGACACTTTGAGATTGTGTCCTGTCTCACAAATAAGTTATGCATAATGATAAACCTTGAATTTATATGCGAAATAATTCTAACATATGTCATTAGGCCCAATGTGGGTTATTCAATAATCAGTTCACTTTGCGTAGTAATAAGTAATTAATACATTGGTTAAAAATTACCAGCCCGATATGGGCAAAACTTTTATAAAGGAATCTGATAGTTAATATCATACATGATTTTTATAAATTCAGACGTGACATCCATGTCACTAGCGCAGTAATGTGGCGCAGTAGCGATCAAACTTTACCATCTTTTTTTAAAACTTCAATGATTATATAATCAATATTTTCTTGACTCAGATTTGAAATGTTTGATGCCAAAAATGATCTAATACTACTTATTTTCTCTTTACCAATACTAACAAATAAATCATATATTTTTCCTGATCTTTTCTTTTTTTTTTTCAATGCATTATTGGTGATATTATCGGGAAGTTGTTTTTAGATTTCATTATTAACCAAGGCTAAACATGCGCGTTCTTCATGATTCATATTTTTGTAATGATCAAATCATTTTTTTAAAACTACACCAAAGTTAAAGTAACATTCAATTACATCTCTATTTGCTATTTCATTTTTAGATTCAGCCTGTGAAATTTTGTTATAATGGTATAAAAAATTATTTGTATTTTCGTTGACTTCTATTACTTTCTTGGAATTTTCAGGTACCGTTGATGTCAATTCCTCAATAAGTTTTTTTAATATAGAAGAATCTTCCTTTGAAACTTGCTTCTTTGCTTTCTTACTAGATGATTTGTCAGTAGATTCACCAACACGCTTTTTTTGTATTTCAC